ATGCGCCCGCCCACGAGTTGTGGTTGTGGTTTTGGTGTGGTAGTGGTTTTGGTACGTGTGGGTAAACCCTTAATAGTAAATTATTTAATGATTTCTTAAATTTACGCGAACACTACACATTGAATAAAACTAAATTTACGGATTTTATCGCGTTTATTTCACTACTTTTACTTATTTTTAATTCCCGACGTTTCGGGTGCTTTACAGCAACCATGGTCACGGGGGGGACTGAGATGTTTGACGTCCCAATGTCATAGTTAGTCCGGCTACCTTCAGTTTTTTAATATTAATTTTTGGTCCGATTTACGCAAAACGAGCTTATAGTATCATGAAGTCTTGCAGTGGTATGCTTAGGTTTGCATTTAATTTTGTTAATTATATGATCCCAAGCAGGTGGCAGCACCCATCCATCTTCTCTATTGAAATTTGGATGTTTTTTAATTTCAATAGCCTCGCGTATCATCCTTGGTATGAATCGGTGTTCTTTTGCGAGAATTTGTGGTTTATCAAAACGAATGTAATGGTGGGGACGATCTTGAACATGTTCGCAGACTGCAGACTTCCCGGAGCGTCGAATGAAAAAATCTTTCTTCGAGGACGTCAAACATCTCAGTCCCCCCCCGTGACCATGGTTGCTGTAAAGCACCCGAAACGTCGGGAATTAAAAATAAGTAAAAGTAGTGAAATAAACGCGATAAAATCCGTAAATTTAGTTTTAGTAAATTATTGACATTTTTATTGGATATCGTGAAGATCTAAGAATATTCAATGTCGGTATTGTCTGACAAAATTTAGCATCTGTGGCTTGTTGAAGTTGATTGAAGGTGCCATGGATAGCAGTAACCACCTACCATCAGTTAGACAACCCTTTAGTTACATAAATACTAATAAAACACGTATTATAATTTTTATTAGAAGACAAAGAATTAATTTCGCTAATAAAGATAAATATACGCGTATAAAATATCATCAGAAATAGTACTTACTAAGGAGAAATAGATAAAATAAGTATAAAAACAATCTCGAATTACATGTTAATCTCAATACAATATGAACACGTTTATGTCCGTCTTACAAGTTGAACACTTACTTTAAAGATATGAAATATGTAAAACATAAGAAAATATAAAAAATAATTGTTTTTCGGTGGATTTATTTCATCTGGGGCTATTACAAAATTCGGAATAATTGGCTAAGGTTGGTTATGGAAAACTCCCTCCTGTAATTTAAAACTTTAATTTCATAAAAAAACTTGGCTTGTACATGGATAAAACTATGATCTGTAAATTGCACATCTCTGAAGTAGGTCGTAAAGTTGCTGCTACCTTGCGTGCTCTTTATCGTCTTAAAATTCCTGCCTTTCAAAACCAAGCTTACGCTAATTCATTCCCTCATTCTACCTTTTATCGATTATGCAAATGTATGTTACCCAGACCTGTCAGAAAATCTTCTAAACACGTTGAAGCGCCTTTTTAATAATTTTATAAGCCTTGTTTTTGGTTTACGTAAGTATGACCACATATCTTCCTATCGTTCAAAGCTTAAATAGCTACCTAGAATTTTACTTGTACTATGTTTAATTTTAAGCGTTCCAAGGTCGCCTTCTTATCTTAAGGATAATTTTCGTTTCGTTTTGCTATTTTTTTTTTTTTTTTTTTACAATAACGGCTGAAACTGAAACAGGTTCAAATGTAGATTAGGGAAAAGTCATTGCGAAGGCCCAAAAGAAACTTTAGAAAAGACGTAGGCTTTGTATCGCCAATAATAAAGCTTATTTTGAACATTAACTTTAAATGAGCTTGTCTAAAATAATAAACAATATTTTAAAGGTGCATATTCGTGTGTTTTACTGGACTCATTCGCGTCCTTACGTATTGTCTTTATATCTTGTTATTCTACTTACTAGCCTAGCGTACGTCAACTTACTAAAATTTGTAGACTTTAAATTAAAGAAAAAATGTCGATTATTAGCACTTGAACTATTTAAGTACATTTTTCAAATATAATGCCCAGCACTAGCCAAGTGAAATTTTTATGGTTAATCCTTCATGAAAGCCAGTAGCTTGTTATAGGTATAGATTGTAGAATAAAATAATATGTGCAGTATTTGTTTTAGGACCATAGAGAATTAGTGAAAAAAAAATACTATAATTTTTTTATTTGGATTGTTATAAATCCAAGCCTATGTTTGGTTTAAACGTACAAAAACATCTATTTATCTTGTTTGAAAAAGTCGCGGTCACATACCCAATAGCTATAATTGAGAAGTTTAGGCTGAAATCTGATTTTGATAAAAATTTTACCAAAGTCTAAATAACTTTTGAACCACTGAATATCGCATTACATACACGGGGGTTAGTTAAATCGATAGATACTGAGGTCCTCCACCCCCCCGCCACCGATGATCTATCCTCCTCAAGTTACACGGTGTATAATGTATATGCAGTTAGTAACTTGAATAATTATAGTTTAATAAGATTACATTTATGGTCAATTTATCTTCTGTAAAAGGATTGTTTCAGCAGTAGCTTGATAATATAATATTTAACCTATAATCAAATATTGCTCATTTTTCTGTACCTATGCGATGTTTAAATTAGTAAATGCGGTTGAAAAATGCGTCATATTGTATATATATTCATATGATTAATATTAATATTAAAGCTCCACGCATAAATTACACGCAACATCTTTTAATACGTTTCTCTTTTTGCCTTATTTGAAAATTAAATTAGAAAAAGTGAGACAAGTATATTGACTCAATTATGGTAGAATTGTAGGTTCCCTCTATGCATGCATATGTATGTAATTACTCTATGCATACCTAGTACAAAACTAAATCACATTTTTCTGCATTCTTAAGGGGAAATATAACCTCAAATGGCTTAGCAAGATCCTCCGTTATGCCGAAAGTATTGCAGATTAATTTTGAAATAAATTTGGTAAGTGATTTTTTATAATATTTTTACTTTAATAAGATCATGAAACTTTGCATATAACTGAACTAACCATAAAGCAGTGCTTTGTTATTTACTTTTTTTTAGTTTTGCGGGGTTATTTCCCTTAGTTTAAAATTGCTGCCAGATTAATTATTTTATTTAAAATTAAATGACTTTAAACGAAACTAAACGCTGACGAACAGATAAAATACCAAAAAATAAATCAAATTGATTTGACTTATAGGTACCTAAGATTTATTTAATGAAAACAGAATAAAATACTAAAACTGGCTTATGTAATTGTAATGTAGTCTTTAAAAACAAAAAGAGAGAATGTTTTCTAGTACATAGAAAAAAATTGTCCCATTTGTTTAGAAGCAAACATTAATGTTTAAGTTTTGTGTTATGTAAGAGGTAGATTAGTACCGTACTAACAGGTACTTGTCCGAATAAGCAAAATAAGAACCATATCTAAAATATATCGAAATAATTCTAAATTATAGTAATTATTAAATTAAATTATGTAAAACCTTTAATCTATTTTATAATAAAGTCATCACATAACTGGAATAGGATTTACCACGCTGTCTGACGGATCGGACTGTGGTTACCGTCAGTTGTCAGAAAATTCGTCCAAAAACTAAATTACGGACCGAAAAAGGTGATAATACTTATCCTTAAACAACAACGCATTTTTGATCAAATATCTAAAATAGCATTTTCACTAAATACAATTGTATATTTACTACGAACAAATTTTAATTAAATAGCCTTAAATACATTCTGATGGATTTAACTACTCAGGAACGAGGTATACATTTTGACTACGGAAATAAATAGGAAAGTGTTTTGGAAGCAAAACACTTAGAGAGATCTAATCCCATATTACAAATAATATTCCTTTCGTATATTACACGACATCAAATTATACATTATGAATACTGTGTATTGGCAGTATAAGCATATCCATTAATCCATATCGTCTCTTACGTGTTCTAAGAGCGACAGAGGGACACAAAACCGGGAGATAGACAGCAACGTGTTTCTAATAGTGACTAGAAAACAACTATAGCGAATATTTTCTTTCAAAGGTATGGACATCTAGATATATGGATGTTCAGCTGTGGACTTTCATGGGATGTAATGATGTGATGATTAAGAACCCAACGATTATACCGTATACATTGGCTCCCCCGATACATTCATAGAGGGATATTTTCCACAGTTCGCCACGCTTGGCAAGCGTTTTTATTTTTATAGGATGGCGCCCCTGAGTAAGTGGTTGCTGTGGCCTATAGACATCTATATCTATCCTCGATTACGAATCAAAATGCTGATGCGTTGTCACCCGTAGGACTAAGATGGAATGCCTCGCTTCCAGTTAAAAGGGTCTCCGGTTCTCTACACTCAACATACGAAACATAGCAGCATTAGGCTACTGTAAAATAGTAGCCTAATGCTGCTGGTACTCTGTGAGAGCGTGGTCCTTCCCCGGTCGAGCCGACCCAATCGTGCTACAACTATACTACTAATATAACTGCAGCATGGCTCTACCACGTACAAGTTAGTAACCCAACCGCAGTTTTTTTTATTTTAATCGTTATCAGGAAGACGTTGCTGTCCATCTCCAGATTTGTTTCTCTCTGTCGCCTGTTACGACATCCCCATGGATGGGGTAGTGGATATTCATACACCGCCGGCCACTACACGGGTATAATGACAACTTTATTACGTATTTCAGTAAATCTAAAAACTTACTTTAGACAATATAAAAAAGGAAAATCTAAATGGAATTTCGTCCAGTTGCATTTTTTAACTTATAAAAGAATATTTTACCATTTTAATTTACCTATTGAACGATTCATAATATAACATTGTATAGTCGAAAACCTTTACATTTTCACGCCCGTCAGACCCAAAGGAACATGCGATTTTGATACCCGTTACAATTCCAGTATAACATATTAATTATTATTCCATAGTATCAATACATTTGTTTTCAATTACGCTACATCTAACACATTGCTTAACGTCATAAAATATTTTCATTTTACTTTCAACTTAGAAAATATCAACGTCTTTCAAATGTTGGTAGTTGCGATCCCAGTAGCCTCCGTTGTAGAGCCAATCCTCTTGTTTCGTATAGGGATTCGTACCTTGACTGAACCACCTGCAAAAAGTAACAAGTAATAAAATCTCCGCCGGGTAAGTATATCCATTACCCCATATCATCTCGTGGATGTCATAAGAGTTGACAACGGGGTACTGAAACAGTAGATGGGCAACAGCATCTTCCCGATAACTGCGCTCACAAGCCCGCCAGCCAAACTTGGAAACTATGACAAAATACGTCCCATGAGGAAATCTACGGAGAGACCTATGAACATGCTGAACAGCAATGGAATTTAATAGACCATGACGGTAACGGTGCAAATCATCATTCATCATCATCTTTACAGCCCTTCACAAGTCCACTGCTGAACACAGGCCTCAACTAAGTAAAGCACGGTCCAGACCCGACGTGCAAGTGACATAGAATTAATATACCCCACGAATCAATGATAGTGAAATCTTAATTAGCTTATGTACCTTTATAGGTGCGTGATAGTACAAAAAAGGCCACAAGAGTATTAAATTAAAAAAATAATTCAAATACTTACTAAAAAAAAAACAAAGTAATTTCAACATGTGTTGGTGCTGAGTTATGATGTATTTAATAATTAAAGCCCAGACGTCAGAAGCTAATTATGTAAAAATAATTTTATTTTTTGTTCTTAAAGTCTGATTTTACTTAGGTATTTCGAACGTTTACGTTTTACTTTTTTGAGCGGAATATGGAATATAACCAGTTCAAAGTAACAACTAGAATGTTGTCTAAATAGTTAATTTAAAAACTTCATTTCATATTTTCCGGGTTATTCATTTTAAATTTATTTGAGCTAGAACTATTCTAAGTGGTAATACAACACCAAATGTTTAACCGGCAATGTGAGTGTAGTTCCCGGTTTGTCTTAAGATACGAATTCATGAAAATGACGTCCCCAATCAAGACATGATTAAACCTAACTTACCTATTTTTTTACCGCCAAGAAACAACACCTAGGAAAAGTATGTAATAATAAACGATAGAATACATAATATTATATACGTTGCTCAAGTAAAACCGGCATTAAATGGAACGACTAGATATTCTACATAATGACTAAATGACATAATATGTGGTCGAGCCACGCTGCTGCGATATTATGGTTGGACCCGAGAAGAACCTCTCACAGAACACCAGCGTAAAATAGTAGCTTAATACTGCTGTGTTTCGTATGGTTAGTGTAGAGATCCGGAGGCCCTCTTTTACTGGAAACGAGGCATTCCATTTTTGTCCTCAGGGGTGACAACGCGTCTGAGTTTTGATTCTTAATCGAGGATAAATGTAGATGTATATGGGCCACAGCATCACCTTATTATCGGGTAGACTGTGTGCTCGTACGTCGTCCTTGTTCTATCTAAAAAAAAAAAACAACAGTAACATGTACTCAGCTATTCCGATCTGAAGGCTTTAGAGAACCAGTATAATTAGAGGATGTGAGGCATTCCATCTTAGTCCTCTGAAGTTTCAACGCATCTGAAGCTACTGTATTTAAAGTTGGTTACTAGTGTTTAGTGGTTGCAAAACTCACTTACCATCGGGTAGTTAGTTAGTTACTTAAATTTAGGTTAAAAAATGGGCTTGGGACTATGACATAAAGCATTATTCATTATTTATGATACATCGGAAGACATACATAAAAATGTCATGTCATCGAATATACAGAACTTTCTCGATTTTTAAAATCGGTTAAAATAACAGAAGCAAAATCAATGACAACTTTTAAAAATAAAATACTACATCATAACACAGTTACGCGTATTCCGTGTTCAGTTTCAAATTTATATTAATTTTATTTAGTTTGGCGCGCAGCACTCGAAACAACAACAACAAATGCCGTGGTAGCTCAGATGTTTAGTGCTCGCTGTAAATATCACAGTACACGAGCAACCCGGGTTCGATCCCCGCCGGCACTAATGAAATTCTTAATCGCAATTTTAAGTGCTGACTTACCACGTGCTCGGCGGTGAAGGAAAACATCGTGAGGAAACCTGCACGTCTGAGAAATAAGAAAAAAAAATATTTCGAAGACATGTGAAGTTCGCCAACACGCATTGGGGCAGCGTGGCGGATATTTCCTTGCCCTAAAACCCTCTCAAAATGAGAGGAGGTCTTTGCCCAGCAGTGGAATGTATGTAGGCTGTAACTTTAACCTTCAACTTTAAATCGAAACAAAGGAATATAATAACTGTATTTTAATTTTGTATTTTCCCAACTAATGTCTTGAATTTGTTATCAGGTATTTTAGTTTTTTTGGTGTACTGAGTCAAAAGGAAATAAAATTCACAAAATTAGTGAACAATTAACTTAATCCCCAGTATTTTTGTCAGTTTGTCATTGACTTTGAATGACCCCGGAATAAATACACGCATTATACTTGTAACTTGAACGTTTATTTATTTTTAACTTACTTAAAATATAAGTACCCGGATAACCGAGCTTTGCTCGGTTTTTTTTTGAAATTACATTTATAAATTAAAAAAACTGAATTGATTATTTGAATAAAAAATCATGAATGCAATTAGTTTTATTAAAATTTTCGTATTTTTAAAAATTACTAAAAAAAAGGGCTTGAAATAATAGATTTCTCACAAAAGAAGGGAACTTGAAAAAAAAGGAAAAAGCTAAACCAGAGACAGGTCGCGAACCACGGAACTTCACCTGAGCTATAACGATCGTTAGTGATCTGTCGAAATTTATCTTCTTATATTTTAGCAGTTTTTTATTGCCTGAAAACACGGACAAAAGGAGATTTTCTAAAAATAAATCCTAGCTAGATCGATTTATTGCCCCCGAAACTCCCTGGACACAAAATTTTATGAAAATCGTTGGAGCCGTTTCCGAGATTCCGATTATATATATACAAGAATTGCTCGTTTAAAGGTATAGGATATATAGGATTAATTTAATTACTCTTAATACAGAGTAATTATATACGTCCTTGAAAATATTTATTTTTGAATTACTCATGATTGGATGCGATTGGACTGATGCGAAATGACAAAGATTCGCTATCATCGTGTGTAACTTATTTTCCTTACTAAATAATATGCTAAGGCTATACGTGGAGTACACGCATAAGTTTGGCGTAAATCGTAAATAAAACAATTTATATGTAAACTACTATTCTGCATTCTCAATTCCATTTTAAACACTTTTTCATTCGTTCAAACCAATTTTGAAAGCATATAGACCGTTGGTCTGTGGGCAGGTTTTTCACGTGCTGGTTGAAAGCTATCACGGCCTGTTCTTTTTTTTTATATAGAAGAGGGGGCAAACGAGCATGCGGCTCGCCTGATGTTAAGTGACTACCACCGCCCATGATCAACCGCAACACCAGGGGAATTGAAGGTGCGTTGCCGGCCCTTTAGAAAGGAGTACGCTCTTTTCTTGAAGGTCCCCAGGTCGTATCTGTCCGGAAAAATCGCTGGTGGTAAACTATTCCACAGAGAGGTTGTACGCGGAAGAAAACTCCACTTGAAACGTACAGTGGTGGACCGCCAAGCATCCAGATGATGTGGATGGTATCGCAACGTTTGCCGCGTAGTGCGTTCACGAAATTTGGCGGCTGGTATTAATGCGAACAATTCCTCAGAGCACTCTCCATGGTATATGCGAAAGAAAATGCAAAGAGAAGCAACATCTCTTCGCAGTGCCAGTGAATCGAGCCGATCGGAAAACACTCGGTCGTCGACGATTCGAGCCGCTCTGCGCTGGATGCGGTCAAGTGGAAGGAGCTGGTACTGGGGATCCCCAGCCCAGAGATGGGAACAGTAATCCACGTTGAACGAACCTGCGCCTTGTAAAGTTGCAGGCGGTGTGCCGACATGAAATACTGTTTCGCTCTGCTGAGCACGCCAAGCTTTTTAGAGGCCAATTTGGCCTTCTCTTCAAAGTGACCACGAAACTGCACGTCACTCGATATGTCGACGCCGAGGATTCCGATACTGGCTGAGGCAACAAGGGGAGTGCCTTGAAACTGAAGAGATACGACAAAGGGGTTCTTTTTAGCGGTTAACGCGCAAACTTGTGTCTTCTGGGGGTTAAACTGGACTAGATTTAGTCGCCCCCAATCCGAGACTCTGTTCAGCAAAGACTCGACTTCAGACACAAGTTTGTCCCGGCACTCGGAGACGTTTTCCCGAGAAATTTTGCCTCGGCCGGTGTACAGAGCATCACCAGTGCTGTCATTTGCATAGCAATGAATGTTACGGGTTTGCAACATATCATTGATATGCAGAAGAAACAGTGTTGGCGATAGCACGCAGCCTTGTGGAACACCAGCATTAATAGGCTTGCAATCGGAGCTTTCATCGTCTACAACGACCTTGATGCCCCGATCTGCAAAAAGCTGGTGATCCAATCGCACAATTTCTCGGGAAGCCCATAGGAAGGGAGCTTCAAAAGAAGCGCTTTGTGCCAAACCCGATCGAAGGCCTTCGCAATGTCCAAACTAACGGCCAATGCCTCCCCCTTGGACTCTACTGTCTCCGCCCATCTGTGAGTTAGGTAGACCAGAAGATCACCAGCTGACCGACCACGGCGAAAACCGTATTGGCGGTCACTAATCAGCTGGTGATCCTCAAGGTACCTCATGAGCTGGCAGTTTACAATGGACTCCATTGTTTTGGAGAACAAGGAGGTGATGGCGATAGGCCGGTAGTTGGACGAGTCTGAGCGGTCTCCTTTTTTTAGGGATCGGGTGGACGAAAGCCGTCTTCCATGATTTTGGGACTACGCCTAGGGAGTAGGAGTACCGGAAAAGACGCGTTAAAACCGGTGCCAACTCTGGAGCACACGTACTCAGCACGATTGGGGGGATTCCGTCAGGCCCACTCGACTTGTGGATGTCCAGGGAGAGGAGTGCTTTGCGAACCGAGCGCTGTGTGAACTGCACTTCCGGCATGGAGCACTCACACCGCGGGATGGTAGGCGGCGTACTCCCCCCGTCACCGAGAGTCGAGTTGGACGCAAAGAAAGAGCCTAGAAGATCGGCTTTCTCCTTTGCGGTATGGGCCAGTGAGTCGTCCTCCCTGTGCAGAGATGGAAAAGATGGCTGGCAGAAATTGCCCTGGACAGCCTTGGCGAGAGACCAGAATGCACGGGTTCCAGAAGGAAGGCGGATTAGTTTCTCGCCAATTCTGCCTATGTGCTATGACGTTGCCTTGGCAATGACTCTTTTGAAGGACCTAGAGGCGGAATTATACTTCTTTTTTTAGAGCGCTGGTGTTTACATCCCGGGACGCTGATGCGTCAGCCCAGGCTTGGTAGCACTCCTGCTTATAGCATGATACTATTTTACAGGAGCGACCAAACTATGGCTGAGATTTGCCTCCAATGGGCACCACAGAGGAAGGAATAAAAAGTTCCATACCCTGAAGTACCACATCAGTGACAGAATCCGCAACAACGTTGGGATCGTCCGGCGAGAAGCAAACCCGCCCCCAAGGGTAGGATGCAAAGAAAGACCGCATCCCATCCCAATCGGCTGACCTATAGTACCAAAAACACGGCGGCAGCCTGCAGATTGCAACTGCGATTTCAGGGTGAGTGGCACCACACTCCGAACAAGACAATGATCTGAGGAGCCTAAAGGGGCGTCAACGGAAATCTGATATCCGTCCGGGTGAGAGGTCAGCAGAAGGTCCAACAGGGAAGGTGCATGATCCTCCACATCTGAAATCCGCGTAGGCGAAGTAACCAGCTGTGTCAGACCATATGCCAAGGCAAAATCACGAACAGATCTCCCCGCATGATCGGTTAAACGTGAACTAAGCCATTCGGCGTGATGGGCGTTAAAGTCGCCGAGGATCACGATCTCTGCGGAGGAGATCTGCTGTAGCAACGAATCTGTAGCCATTTGGACGTGGTCGAAGAGTCAGTCTGTTTCGGCATTACCGCTATGAGAGCTATAGAGGCACCCGTAGACGCGCGGATGGTCGTCGTTGTCTACGCGTAGCCAAAGGATGGACAGGTCCGAACCTTCAAGTCTGCCGAGGCGTCGAGAACAGATGTCCTCTCTGACGTAAACGCAAACTCCAGCCCGAGGCACAAAGGAGTGTTCCAGTTTGTACCCCGGCTAGGAGAGATACGATACATCAGCCGGAAAGGACACCTGCGTCTCTGTCAGAAAGAGCAGAGCCGGCCTCGCCGTCTCGAGATGGTAGTGGACGGTGTTTAGGTTAGAGTGAAGTCCCCTGATATTGCAGAAATTCAAGGACAGCGTGGCAGGGGTCGCCTTGGTTTTGTTGCTCCGTTTGCCCCGAGTAGTCTTGAGCGGAATTTTGTCTCCCCCTCCCCCCCAGAATACACGGGGCAGCCTGAGCACCCACGCTCAGAAGTGGAGAAACATGATCGTGGATGCTCAGCGAGGGATTCTCCTGCGGTGCTGGTACCCTCCTGGGGTAGTCTATCATCATTTAATTCCGCTACCATGTTGATGTGAGGGGGGGGGGAATTGGGCTTCCGGCCACCTGCACTCACCTGACGAAACGCGGAAGCATAGCTTCCACTTCACGCCGGTATTCAGTGAGGTCGTGGTAACACCCCGGTTTGAGCCGGCCCATACGTGCAACAGCAAAGCTGCCGCGTGGCTCTACCACTGATAAAATTCTGGCTCTGTTAATATCAAACCTCTCCTTAAATCTTTGATTTTTGGGAAAATAAAGACATCGCATGGTGCCATATCTGAAGTGTTTGCGTGATGGGTCACGAGCTCCAGCTTTTCAAAAGTCAAAAATGACTTTGTCTGGTTGGCGGTGCTCGCCGAGTGCCGAAGCATTGTCATGGTGCCAAGAAATCATCTTGGTCGTTTACCCTTATTTTTTTCACAATTGACACTGAGCAAACAATTACTGGTTTATCAAGTTTATCAAGTTGGATCTTTTTCTCATCAAGTAGGATCATGCAAGCAGTATGTATGTATATTATAAAGTTTGCGATGTTGCAACCCTGTGTTTCAGAAAGCACTTAAAACCATCGGTCTCCCGATATTACCGGTCTGTCATCCCATCAGACTATGACAGTGAGGGGATAGAGAATGTGCTTCCGCAAACACTCGTACACTCACCCTACGAAACACAGCATTATCGATCTGCTATTTTACGCTGGCATTTTATGAGAACGTGGTCCTTCTAAATACGATCTACCCATTCTACAATTATAATAAAGCTCCAGCATTTTTTTTAATTTATTTATTTTTTTATCGATGCAACGATGCTGATAAATATATTTTTATAGACATCCACAACTAATCTCGATTAAAAATCAAAATGGAAATACGTTTTTACTTTGTACTCCTGAGGAATAAGATGGAATGCCTTGTTTCCAGTAAAAAGGTTCTCCGGTTCTCAGCAGCAGCAGTATTAAACTGGGTGCGTTTGGCAGAAAAAAGCGCTAGCAAGCGCTTATAAGCGCTGAAATAGTTTTCGGCCAGGACACGATTGCTACTTCGGTAGCGCTGACACAATCCGCCATTTTGCTTATTTAATTTTGTTTGTTTTGGACACAGATTACCTTTCGAAGTAGAGTTTATAAGTTGTTTTGTGCAATATTAGTTTTAAGTAATATAATGACATGAATAAACATATACATGTTATTAAAAATTCATGATTGGTAAGTTTTTAATATGAATACTTTACAAAAATATATTTAAATTAGGTTAGGTTTCACGGTTAAAACTAACATCGTGTCCTGGAGGAAAATAGCTACTTACGATTTGACAGCGCTTACCGCTTACGATCGCCATTTTGCTTACAAGCGCTTGCTAGCGCTTTTTTCTGCCAAACGCACCCACTGTTATTTTACGCTGGTATTCTGTGAGAGCGTGATCTTTCGCTGGTTGATCCGATCAATTCATGTTACAACCATAACATAGCCGCAGCATGGCTCTACCACGTATAAAATATGTATAAGATTAAGATCAACGCTCTCTTTAAATTTCATAGCGATGAAATTGACATTTAAGCCATGAAATTTAAACAGACAGCGCTCTCTGGCCATTCTACGTACAGACTGGTATGTAAGAGTTCTGTGTGTAGGACGTTGTTACCTGGGCTGCCAGGGGTCCGCGTTCTTCTTGAGCAGCTTCCGGGCGGTGCGCTGCTTCTCCTCGAGGCGCGTCTTCTCGGCGGCGGCCGCGTCGATGTCGCCCTGCTCCAGCAGGCGCACGTCCGGCCGCAGCCGGCTGTCAGTCGGGCACAGCTGCCCCTTCATGTCGCGTTCCAGCTCGTTCAACGACATTGCGAACTCCGTGAACTGGTAATACTGGAACGTACCTTACTTGAATTAATTTTAACAAGCAACTTCTTATTAATAAAAAAACATAACATAAACACTCACTCCTGTCACCCAGAGGGGTAGGCAGAGACTACAGACTTCCATTTAGCACGATCCTGACATACCTCTCCCGCCTCTTCCACATCCATATACATACGCATACATGCTCGTCGGTTAAGGGTACTCTTAATTTGGCCCATTTTTAGTATATCGCCAATTTGGTCGACAAACTTCCGCCTAGGACGCCCCTTTCCGACTCTTCCATTCACCTCTGCAACATATATTTGCTTTGTCTGTCTTTCCGCATTTATTCTTTCTACATGACCAAACCACCGAAGCATTCCTTTCTTAATCCTGGTCACTGCATCATCTTGCAAACCACACTCTTCTTTTATCACACAGTTTCTCACCCTGTCACTCAGATTCAGCCCTAACATACTCCTTAGCAACCGCATTTCTACTGCATTTATTATACTCTCGTGCTTCTTCTGCCACACCCAACTTTCACTACCATACGTTAAAGTAGGGACTAATACAGCACTGTGAATTGCCATACGTGCCTTTTTTGAGACATTCTGACTTTTCACAATAGAGTGTAGAGCCCCATTTACTTTATTTCCTGCATTCACTCGTCGTTCTATATCCTTATCATATCTCCCATCCCTGCTGAATACACATCCCAAATATTCGAACTCATTCACTTGCTCAATTAACTCTCCTTCTATTCTTATTTTAAATACCGTTTTGCTTTCTTCTCTTTCAAAAACCATCACTTTCGTCTTACTTGCATTCACTTTCATAGCCCTTTCCTTATAATGAGTTTGTATTTTGAAGCCGGTATGACTTGATCATTTTAAGTAAATGAAAAAATATCCTATAAAAAGCGTACAAAAAGCATTTGATGGTTAACTCACCCATTCTTAACTTTCAAATTTTCTAAACAGCTGTCCATAAATAGGTTGAACAGCCACGGGGAAGCTACACAGCCCTGTCTGACACCTTTATGGATGCCAAACCAGTCCGACTAGACCCCGTTGATTCTAACACAAGCACTCGAGTCCCTATACAGAGACTTTAATGCCTGCATTAAACCAGCGCTCAACCTAAATGCGTTCAGTGTTTGCTATAACACATCCCTGTCCACTCCGTCATAAGCCTTTTCCAAATGCTTATTATTTTTTTAATATAATAAAAAAAGTATTTATGGATTTTATCGCGTTTAATTATTTTTTTCTATATTGCCAACGTTTCGAACATTACACAGCACCCTTGGTCACCAGGGATCTGAGATTTTTAACGACCTTATTTAATAGTTAACCGTGTGATGACGGCGTAAGAATATCCACTACCCCGTATCGTCCCGCAGGTGTCGTAAGAAGCAAAAATGGCAAACTATGGCAGGAGATGGGCAACAGCACTTTCCTGATATCAACTCAAAATTGTAAAAAAAACTGTAGGTATCTACCCGCCTAGCGTAGTAACTATAGCAAAATGCCCCTTTGTCCTCCAGACCGAATTTCGGTCACGGCGGCCAGTCTTAAGACCAGCCATCTGTGTAGGGCAGGATTACAATTTTCGAGTGTATGTTCGAGTGAGGGTAGTATAGAAAATGTACAGGTGCATTTTCTATACTACCCTCACTCTCATAGTCCGATGGGACGGTAATCCGATACGGCTGGTAAGAAATCAGGCGCAGGAACAACGGATTTACGTGCTCTACGAGGCACGGAGATGTAACACCGCCGATAATCTATGGAGCAATCTTCACAGAGGCCTAATTTGTTCAGTAGTAAACTTTTACTACGCTGTAATTAAAGTGGAATAGATGACAAAGATAATTACATAACCACAGCTACTTTTAGTAGTTTAAAATTCGTTGTAACATACACCTCAGCTCAGCCCCCGTGACCAAAGTTGCTGTAAAGTATTCTAGACTTCAGGAATAATTAATTAAACGCGATGAAATCCTCAAACAACTATTTTCATTCATTGTGTGTGAAAATAATTATTTACATTTCTTCTTATTGCCGGCCCATGAAAGTTCACTACTGGACAAACACTGTTGTGGTGAAAGGGCATAGCTCTTACGAATGCTGTCAGATCATCGCATGATCTTTTTCATCACGCAATGAAATCGCATAGTTTACTCGTACGATCTATAGCTAAAGGACAACGCCTTAGGATTCTCCTGTTGTTTTAAGGATTTGCCTTAATCGTGATGCTTTAGCAAGTGGACTTACGATAGAAATAAAAGTAAAAAGTAAAGTTACAGCCTATATACGTCCCACTGCTGGGCACAGGCCTCCCCTCATTTCTGGGTTTTAGGGCAAGGAAGTGTCTGCCGCGCTACCCCAATACGTGTTGGCGAACTTCACATGTCTTCGAAATATTTTTTCCTTATTTCTCAGACATGCAGGTTTTCGCACGATATTTTCCTTCACCGCCGAGCACGTGATCAATCAGCACTAAAATTGCAATTAACAATTTAATTGGTGCTGGCGGGGATCGAACCCGGGTTACTCGCGTTCGGTTATATTTACAGCAAGCGTTAACCATCTGAGAGCTACCACGGCTCTACGATAGCAGTACCGCACTATATTTACCAGGTATTTTAAGTTTGGCGTAACTTTAAGAGGTGGTTACACAGCCACCTTTAGAAGTCACACAACTTTTCCGGTACTTCCTATAGTAGCATCTTACAACACCCACGGGATATTTTTTCATTCACATTAACATAAAACCAAACTTAACAAATTTTTTAATGCATTACTACTTCCCGTGATATAATTCCTGGAACACTAAATGTGTTTTCTCGATAAAAAATTTTATAGGATAAGGGTGACAAACGAGCACACAGTCCACCTTATATTTAATGGAAGCTGTAGGCCATAGACATCTACATTCGATTAAGAATCAAAATGCAGATGCGTTATCACCCCTGAGGACTAAGATGGAATGCCTTGATCCCAGTAAAACGGGTCTCCGGTTCTCTACACTTACCAGACGAAACACAGCAGCATTAAGCTGCTATTTTCGCTGGTTTTCTGCGAGAGAGTGGTCCTTCCCCGGTCGAGCCGATTCATTCATGCTTCAACCATAATAGCTGCAGTGTGGCTCTACCAAGTAAATGGCTATATTTAGCCTTTAAGAGAATCGAACCAGCCCTCTTGTAGTATTTTTGATGATTTTGTTATTAGTTTCTAGCATTATAGCGATATTGTCTTGGTAAAAGCACGGTGCGGCAGGTTCTAGGCTGCAATTTGGCTTGCTCGCCTGGACCAGAGAAGTACACACACACTTTCAAATAATACCAGCGTAATGCTAGTGTTTTCTGTGTTTCCTATGGTATGTGGTTAGGAACGAAGGCCGATTTTACTGGTAACATTAGATCTAAATTCTCAAAGGTGGCAATAAATCTACAATTTACGTTCTTTATTTGTGATAAAGGTATCTATCTAAAGGTTATAGCATCCACCTACTAACACGTAGACTGTATGCACAATTCTAACCTAATCTCCTTATGTTCTTTTTTTTTAAATCGTTACCCCAAATTAAGATTTTCTCCTGTATCGTGAAGGCAGTTCACATACATAAATTTTCCATGGACAAACACCCAGACCAGGAACAATTATTTGTAGGCCCATACAACTGTTTACAATTATTTGTAGGTTTTATACGTGGTAGAGCCATGCCGCAGTTATATTAGTACTCGTAGTATGGTTGTAGCACGAATGGGTCGGCTCGACCGGGGAAGAACCACACTCTCACAGAATACCAGCGTAAAATTGTAGCTTAATGCTGCTGTGTGTCGTATGATGAGTGTAGAGAACCGGTGACCTTTTTTACTGGAAACGAGGCATTCCATCTTAGTCCTCACGGGTGACAACGCATCTGCATTTTGATTCGTAATCGAGAATAGTTGTAGAATAGGTCACAGTAACCACCAGGTGGACTGTGTGCTCGTTTGTCACCCTATCCTATAAAAAATACAAATACTTAATTGTTCCGTGTGGAAATGAATAGATATGAACCTGCGGCAATCAACGCCGCAATTAATTACTAAATTATCGCGCCACGAAGTGATACTTTCTTACCACTGACAATGACTTGCTTAAAAACTTCTAGTTTGACCAGTTTTTAGAGGAAAACTGGTTTTATATGTGTTACACAATAATTTCCGAGTAGTCCTACATAAATTTGTACCAAATCTGATTATATATTTCGTGAATGTTTCACATTTTCATAACCTTACACTATTTCTCTAACACTTATTAGAGACTTTTTATTGTAACCGGGCTTATATGTTACCTGAGCGCTGTTGCTAGGCCGCGGTCTTGCTTCCCACAATGTAGTCGATCCTGGAATGTCTATATTGTAGGACTCGTCGGGCTTGGGCACGTCTTCAGAATTTTCTGTTTCCTCAGTCTGCAAAATTACATACATATTTAAGTTACCGGTTACGATACTTCGAAAATAAAAAAGGCTGTTGGTAGAAGTGTTTTTTATGATTCTATGACGTTTTTCCTAAATATGAACTTCTTTGATGAGCTGGCATTCTTAAGAAGATGATCATCATCGTGATTATAGTCAATCACAATGGGTTTACCTACATATCGATGGCTCCTAAGTATAGTGAGTCATCTAACATTTTTTTAAGTATTTTCAGGTTTTGATGGTATTGATTGTAAAAACATATTATCTATCAGACTATATCGAAAAAACCTAAAATGCATAAATATTCTTGGAAATGATCTAACGTATACTGGTTTATGTTGTGGAATTTAAAATTGCCATACGGCGTATTCTAAGCTAACTACTCGAAATCAGTATACGCGGGACGCGGACGAGGTACTTTAAGCGACATGTGCACACTGGACCAGTACCTACAGCGTTCGCTTGGCGCGTAAGTGTGTCAATTTAGGAGTGTGTATTACGGTAATTTTATTAGATTTAAGGCAAAAATTATTGTGTTTAAATTTAAATAAGCATGGACAGAACACAACAAAACGCTAGTGCAAAGTTAATGCTAAATTTAGTAGATTTAATATAGGGTCGATGCGCCGGTAAGCCGGCCGGGTCTAGATTTCGGCCTTTGGCACGAGCTGATGCAGTAAATTTGATTTAATAACAATTTTAATAAATATTATCGTAAGAAATACAGTTTAATGCATTTGTAAATAGTTTCACTATATCTGGTAGCATTAATTAATCAGGTAAACACAACACGCGATTTATAATAAATAGTTTAGTTTGACGCCGACACTGAAGCTATCAAAACGGGTAAGATCGAGCAAAAAAAATAGTGGCGAGCGTTCAATGGAACTTAAATGAAATTTATTAAGTTTGAATGCAACATACAGTTATTTGACATTGATTATTATAATTTATTGATAAAGTTAATAAATTAAGTGGCCGAAAAGTGACACATAAAATTGTCCCATTATTTGGTTGTCGGCCATGCGGCCGAAAAGTCTTATATTTATTTGGTTACGTACTATAACTCATCTTTCTTACTTATATTGAATCGTAGCGTGCGTAGACACTAACTTTCAGTTTTCGGCCACCAAGTACTGCAATTTGAACAGTTAGTGATGAAACAAAATACCCATTTCAGTCGTGGCCGAAAACTGGATTGACTCTAAAATATATACAATTTAGTTTTCGGCCAACTTAAAATTGTATGAAAGAATACGGCGGCGGAATATGGAATGCTGTCTTAGTTTACGTTTACGGCCATTTCATCTTATCATATCAAATATTTTATTCACATTGCGTTTTAGGAAGAAGATTCAAAAAAGAAATTTTTTTCTTCAGATGGCTCCTCTTGGTTAGAGATGAGAATGGTTAGATATGGTAACAGATTTTGTTAAAATAAAATACTTATGAGGAAGTACAAAATACTCGTAAATGAGAATATTTGATTGCTATATTTAAAATATTTTATTATTAGATTATGATTCAAAGAGAAATAATTAATCATGGTTATTATTTTAGATCAAAAACACACCCAAAAAGAAAAAATAACGGCACGGTTAAAAAATGCAATCACCGATTGAGAAAACTAAACACACCGATTTCCCAAACCGTTTTGCCATTTTCTGATTTTACAAAAACGCTTTTAAGTTTATAGTACCTCTTCTAATACAGTGACCGAAAACTAAAATTCTTGTGGGCCGAAATCTAAAATTTGGGGCCGAAAACTAGCGTTTTGCATATTTTTCACATCAAAATTTGTTATAAAAAATAGATTTCTTTTGTAGCATTAATGAGTTATCAAAATGAAAACTACATTATATAAGCTATAAATTAACATTAACAACACTAGGTCAACATAATCGCTATTATTTTTTATAGTACCTTAAAGCTAAAGTTGACAACTCCACTAAAAGGCCGAAAACCAGCGCAACGACCCTACTCAGAAGACAAAAATAACGAACACGAAATTTTTGAAAATTACGAGTTAGTGGAATCTTTTCATAAAAATGGTAAGTTAATTAAGTTTTTCATTACATTAGCTTAAATAAATTATAATTATGACAGTAAATAATCACAATATTTTTCGATTACAAACTATGAAATATTCTGTACATTCTATACTGGGTTAACTTGAGATAGACCAGTATACGTCGTGTTAGTTAACAGTAGTATAACACTTGACTCAGTATATTTATTTTAAACTTCCGTCAGTCGGTCAGTATGTGCTGCCATAGCCTGCCTCATTAATGGTTATCCCTTATATATTAGGTGCCACGCTGAGCAAGCTAGTTGGCAACCGCAATTTTTCTATTATTTTGAGTCGTTGTCAAGTACTGCCGTCCATCTACTGTTTCGGTTTCCCTCCGTGACCTTTTACGACACCCATAGGATGATTACATTTATAATATGATTAGGTGCCCGCAAAAGTTTCATGAATCTTATAATTTTTCATTCATATACATATAATTATAAATACACGAAGCTACATTTTAGTAGTTGACTCTCAAAACTTTTTATAAAGTGATACTTTTTACATAGATTCAAGAGACTGTTTTTTATTGTTTTGCATGATAAAAATGAGCGTGTTTGTTTTATTTTCAGAGTCGTCTCCTTTGCCACCTGGTGCTAACTTTACCAAAGATGAACTGTCAATTATAGACCAAGTAGACCTAGAAGACAGTGAACGTATTCTAGAAGATTTGCCATCCAACGCCTCTATATTTCCTGATAGTATTCTTAATACTTCATCTGAGTCAGTCTATTCGCCATCAATAATAGAAAATTCAAGAGAATCCTCACCTATCAGGATACCTGTAAACGGCCTTAAGACTATGACCACTACGACCCCCATACATTCACCAGCAATCTCGTTTTCTAGTCCAAATAGTCCCATAAACATTAGTTTTTCCGTACCTGCTAGTCAATCTAGTGATTGGTCTCATATAAAAGATACTGATTCAGCTGTTAGTACTCCTAATCAGCCAAGTAATCGACGCAAGCGAAGTTCAAATATTAAAAAAGACAAGGGTTGCTTAAGGGAGTTATATAAGCAAGAATGGAAGGATAGCCAAAGAAAATACAAAGTGAATAGAGTTTTAGAGTACACCAGTAGAAATGGAAAAATACCCTGAAAAACAATTAAAACCACCTTGCCCTAAAAGCTGCCGTCAAAAATGTTATGATAGGATATCAGAAGAGAACCGAAAAAGAATTTTTGAGATGTTTTGGAGAATTGGCAATCATTCACGACAGTGGGACTTTATAACTAAGTACGTTATAAAACTACCAAAAGCGCGCTTAACTTTTTCTGAAAATTCGAAGCGGCTATACACTATTAAATATTATTTACCATGTTTGGAATCAAATGAAAATACAGAGATAAAACGAATATCTGTTTTTAAAACAATGTTCCTTAGAAACCTCTCGATAAGTTTTAACTTTGTTTATACTGCTCTAGAAAAATTTGACCGTGGAAAAGGGTTTGTAGAATCCGATCAACGAGGAAAACATGTAAATCATCCAAAAACTATAACATTCGATATGGTACGTAGTGTCATTGATCATATTGAAGCTTTCGCGCCTGTTGAAGCTCATTACGTTCGCAAAGATTCGAAACGTAAGTATTTGGATGGCTCATTGTCATATCCCAAGATGTATAAGCTTTATGAGGAGTGGTTTGATTCGAACGCTTATTCTACTAGCAAAGCGTCTTCTGTACGACAATATCGTGATATTATAAACAAAAATATAAATATTGCCTTTCATAAGTCCAAAAAAGGTGCATGCGAAGAATGTCACATATTTGAAAATAAAACACAGCCTACCGAAGAAGAAATACAACATCAAAGAAATCATTTTAAACAAAAGGAAACAGCTAGAAAATTGAAAAAAGAAGACAAGGAATTAGCAATACAAAGTAAAGAGTTTTTAGCTTGTACTTTTGACTTGCAGTAATGTTTAAATGTACCTTATGGGAATGTAAGTACATTCTACTATAAAAGAAAACTGTCCATGTATAATTTCACCATTTTTGATATGGCATCTTTGCAAGGGTATTGCTATTCTTGGCATCAACAAACAGCTAAAAGGGGAGCTAATGAAGTTGCAAGCTGTATTTATAAATTTATTGAAATGACAAGTATCCAAAGGTATAAAAAGTATCGTTTTTGGTCTGACAATTGTGGAAGCCAGAATCGAAACAGAATCGTATTTTTAATGTATATGTATGCTTGTAACAAATTTAATATAAGTATTATTCATCGTTTCCTCTTCGTTGGCCATACCCAAAACGAAGGGGACAGCATGCATGCGTTGATTGAGAGACAAACTAAAGAAAGGATTATTTATACCCCAGACCAGTGGTATGCCGCATTTCAATGGGCTAAAACAGATGGCAAGCCCTATAATGTTACGGAAATGTCACAGGAGTCAATTCTTGATTTTAAAAGACATCTCAAACACTACATTAATTGGACATCTACTAGCGATGGAACTAAAATGTCATGGAACAAAGTGTGTGAAATTAAAATACAAGAAGGAGATAGAAGGAATAAACCGAAGAATACACGAAACAACCAAAAAGAAAAGGTGGATCTAATTTTAGGCACAGCTTATGAAAAGACCCTGCCAATTGATAAAAATAAACACAAAGATCTTATGGATCTTTGTAAAAGTCAAGTCATACCAAAAGAATATCATTTATTTTACAATAGTCTAATTACGGGCAATACTAATAACGATGAGTCCGACTCTGATTGAAAAAGCCCTGATTTATCTACTTAGATATTGTTTTTTCCTGAAGATATTTTATTTTATTGAATTTTATTAAAACAAATATCTCCAAAAATTAATTAAATATCTGATTAGGAAGAGAAAAGAGGCGTTTAATTTTGTTAAGTAATTTTAATACTAAAAGACGCATACAAATATAATTTGGTTTTCTACCTTTAATCAAGACAGAAATTTAAATTTCTTTGTTTTATGGAAAATATAAATAGTTTAACTACTTGATTGTTAATTGAATATGTTTCAATAAATAACTAAAAATATAAAACAATGTTATTTTCTTTTGTTTAAAAAATTACCAAGCTAAAATCTTGCTTAATTTGTAGATATATCAATTTAATGCTACTTCATCTAACCGATTTCAGACATAAAAATCAGTATATAATGAGTCAACTAATTTATTATCGTTTAAATTATAGATACAATGTCAGTTAACTAGTCCAAGAAAATAAATTACAATAATGTATTTATGTATTTATAAACCTAATACTTTTTCCTAAAGATATGATGAATATTCAAATACATTGTAAACGAGTGTATGTACATGACAGTTAGCTCATTATAGGCCATGATTTATATGATGTACACTAAGCCAACTACATTATGGCGCTCCTGTAAAATTTGAATTTTGTAGTTGACTCATTATACTTAGGAGCCATCGATATGACCAAAAAAAAAAACAGTTAGTCACCAGTTGGAAAAATTACCAGTTCTAAAACAACCATATACTGGCGTAGCAGCCATGTAATAATATGATAGTGACTGCCTGCAGCATTAAGCAATCCTATCACCTGGTACTACTATCGATATTAATAATCCGATTTTTTTCTGTGGCCACCCTGACGACAACATTTCAAATTAATATGCACCTCAATTTTATGTTTAATTATTAATTACATTCCGTTTGCATTCTATATAAAGAAAAAACATAAATATTTCAATAAAGTACAGTGTATACATGACCTAAGCATTTTGTTGGATTATAAACTTGTTGGAAATAATCTTTCGTGCTACATATAAACGGTACGAAAACGAAGGTGTCCAAAGTGTTTTAGCTAGAAATACCAAATCATTTAGACATACTCAAACTTTACTTTTACTCTTTCACAGCTTAGTTCAGGGCAACTTGATGTGCAGAATTGAACGAGTCCAGCGGAGATTTATAAGTATGCTAGCTAGCATTGAGATTTAACCGTCATCGGTCATTAAGTGCATATGCTTAACGGCTAAAGCACTTCCTCAATTACTATAAATTGTTAACACTAATGCTCCAAGCAAATTATCAACGTAATAGTGTTTTAAGTTTTTAGTCCAATTAATTATTTCTTTTAAACTGCATATTCTTATTTCTGAAATAATACGTACAGATGTGTGCGTAAACCCCTGTGTACAGACACTGTCGGCCATAGATGATATACTATATAGGACATAGATGAGCCACTCTAACAAATTATTTGATGTCGAAACGAGGGAAGTTTCTTTTTCGCTCTAATAAATCGTTTTAATGTCTGCAAGCTGTTTATGGTCCCACCTCACAAAACTAACACAGTTTAAATAATTTCAGAAGAAAAATGTTACTTTATTTAGATGATAAACGTAAACCTTGTTAATTTTTTTAACTTGTCGCAACATTACTCTGTGTTATTATAGCTTGCCCATAACTGGGAGAGCACGTTGCATGTTTCATACATATACAATGCTCGTATTTTGTTTTATATTTTGTGTACCATTGTCGATGACCCTTATAAGTAAATAAATAAACAACATTATTGTGTAGAAATAAAAAAACAGCAGGTAACGAACATCGTTTAAAATTATTTTAATTATTATTTCTTATTTATTCTTCGTTCTAGATTTTAGGTACTTACAGTGTTTTCGGATATATTTTTTAATTATCTCATGATAATTAACAACAATTTTTTTTAAATAGACATTCGTTTACTATGTTCCTTCTATTTTTGATTCTCGTTTCTTTTTATTTGTTTTATAAATAAATAGTAAAGAGAATGATCATAACACCAAGACGCCCCAGACGGAGAACCAACACAAGTTTGCGCTCCAGAAACTTAAGGCAACCAAAGAACAACGTGAACTGTTGCTTTAAAGAAAGAGATGAAGAAAATAATTAACAAAATTGCCAAAAAATAAATTAAATTCAAGTTACAGCCTATCGCTGGTTTGATACAGGCATTGGAGTCTCTTTATAGGGACTCTAGTGCTTGTGTTAGGATCAACGGGGTCTACTCGGACTGTTTGACATCCATAAGTGTCAGACAGGGTGTGTGGCTTCCCCGTGGCTGTTCAACCTATTTATGGACAGTTGTTTGCAAAATTTGAAAGTTGAAGAATGCGGATTAAGAATGGGTGAGTTAACCGTCAAATGCCTTTTGTACGCCGATGATCAAGTCATTCTTGCGTCGTCGGCGGCCGAGTTGCAAATGATGGTTACATTAATGAACGGATCATTAAAAGAAAGGGGTATGAAAGTGAACGCAAGTAAGACGAAGGTTATGGTTTTTGAAAGAGAAGAAAGTAAAACGATTTGTGAAATAAGAATAGAAGGGGAGTTGATCGAGCAAGTAGACGAGTTTGTATATTTGGGCTGCGTATTTATCAGGGATGGGAGATATGATAAGGATATAGAACGACGAGTGAATGCGGGAAATAGAGTAAATGGGGTCTTGCACTCTATTGTGAAGAGTCAAAATGTGTCGAAAAAGGCACGTATGGCAATTCACAATGCTGTGTTGGTCCCTACTTTAACGTATGGTAGTGAAAGTTGGGTGTGGCAGAAGAAGCACGAGAGTAGAATAAACGCAGTAGAAATGCGGTCGTTAAGGAGTATGTTAGGGCTGAATCTGAATGACAGGGTAAGAAAGTGTGTAATAAGAGAAGAGTGTGGTTTGCAAGATGATGTTGTGACCAGGATTAAGAAAGGAATGCTTCGGTGGTTTGGTCATGTGGAAAGAATGAATGAGGAAAGAGTGACAAAGAAAATTTATGTTGCAGAAGTGAATGGCAGAGTCGGAAAGGGACGTCCTAGGCGAAAATTTGTCGACCAAATTGGCGATTTATTGGAAACGGGCCAAATTAGGAGTACCCTTAACCGACGAGCATGTATGCGTAGGTGTATGGATGTGAAGGAGGCGAGAGAGGTGTGTCAGGAATCGTGCCAAATGGAAATCTGTAGTCTCTGCCTACCCCTCTGGGTGACAGGCGTGAGTGTTTATATTATATATTATTATATATTACAGCCTATATACGTCTCACTACTGGGCACAGGCCTCCTCTCATTTCTGAGAGGGTTAAAACAATTAATAAGGGATATAATTAAGCAACATAAAGATTATCTTTTTTTAAGGTTTGAAGTATGTACTTCAAACCTTCGTATCGTATTGATTAGCAATTAGAGTGACATTGCAAATGGAAAAAATAAATCTAAGAAATAATCTTAAATGGTATCATGCGCGTGTACGTGCGTACGTACATGTGTGTGATGTAGTATTGAGTAGGACATACCAGATGCAATTTGTTCCGTAGGTACATGACGAAGCAATCTACGAGCGCCTCAAAATTTTGACATGTCCGCTTTAAATTTTATGTCGCGTTACCATCGTACTATTATTTATTTTGTGGTGTACTCTTTACTTGTCACGTTTGAACTAAAGGGCCAAAGCGAAAGGTAAGAGTGAACGAGATACGTGCTTCAATGGTACGTCTTAGTATTTAACGGACACTGATGTGATTGATGACGAGAGAGATAACATAATATATTTTTGTAACATTCATGTGTATGTTGAGTATGTACTTTAATAATATTTTATGTTTCATTTTGTATTTACTTAAATAAACATTACAATGGAGATAATAAGTATAACCGTCAATAAAATCACCATTCGTCCATTCAATGTCTTCTTATTACTTTGCGTTATATTTAATGTCTACCACTCTTTCGTAAAGTAGTGCTGTGTAGTGTTAGCACAGCTATACTAAATGACACACTTGTTAATTCGAAACGCCTCGCCTTAATAGGGTTTAGCTGATTTTAGCCAATAGAAGGTTTACACAACCTCCCTGCCATTCCCACTATAGAACTTTAAGGATTCCCCAAAGTATACTTGATAAATATGCACGATGATGAATCTCATGTTATGGAGAAACTGGAGTAGTTAAGTACCAACTTACATCTTGTATAGACATAGATCGGAGAGCTCCCACTTTGAAACTGTTTAACTTCGCGAGGACTTTTTTGGGAGTGTGCGAGGGAGTCTGCTGGGTGCCTGCTTCTTCCCCACGCTCCTTAGCCCACTGCTCGTAAGCAGAAGCGCTGCAGCATTTAATGTACTCTGTCCACTTCCCGTAAAGGAATCGTAGTTTTTTCTTGCTGTAAACAAACACTTAAATTAAACAAACATAAAAACTATATACACATAGACCTTTCCTCGTGAGCTAGGTAAAAGTTAAAAATTAAACTTTCACTTAAAAACTACTTTTGATTACAATGTAAAAGTCGACTTTAAAGATCTACGGAATATTGCAAGCGGGTTACAGCTACTTCATCGTCTATTTTTCCACCCTTAGGTGAGGAAGATTTTCTTCAAGTTTATAGAAATCACTCCTGAAGGTCACTGAAGATCACCTCAACGGAGACTAGCCATCTGCGCAGGGCAGGATTACGAGTATAATGACCGAGTGTAAGCGCCAACACAGGTATACTCTACTCCCTCACTAATAGTTCGATGGAACGGTAATCCGACAAGACCGGAAAGAGATCAGGCACTGAACCTCTCTCCGGGCATGTCGAATTACCAATTCAAGAGGTCTTATGTGCTTTCTGAGGCATGGTGTTGAAACACCGCCAACTTATTGACCCCGGGCTACTACTTTTAACTTTAATTCTTCTTTTGAAAAACCTATTCAAAATCGGTTCTCAATTATTGATGGAGATAAAACCTAACATATGTACAAAAAACAAAATACAATCTCATTAAGAACCTCCTCCACAGCTAAAAAAGTTCCTTTTACGTTCAGTTCTTTTTAATGGCAAATCTCGTTTCAAAAATTCTGATAAGGTCGTAGAGCCTGCCCTGCATTACAATCAGTCCGCCGCTCTGCGCTGCTCTAGTGCGTGTATTTGGTGACATTATACGCCGTCGACATATTTTATTCCCTGGACATAGTTGGCTCACGATGTTTTCCTTCACTGCCAAGCATCTGGTAAATCAGCACATTAAATTGCATTTAACAATTTCATTAGTGCCAACGGGGATCGTTGTGGAGTACTGGATATTGTTACACCGCTGACTACACGGTCAATATCGTCTTGTCGGTTTCGTAAGAGGCGACAAACGGACACAAACCATGAGGTGGACAGCAGCGTATTCCTAATATCGATTAAAAATAAAAAATAAACTTCGGCTGTCAACCGTGGCGTGTCAACCACTATAGCAAATATGGGGGATATTTGTTAGGCAACCTGTGGGGGTGGCCTACGTTCAATCGTGGAATTTTTATAGGCTGTGACGGTAACGGGGATCGAATCCATGTTGCTTGCGTGCTCTGAAGTTGACGTCGAGCATATATACCCCTGAGCTACCATCGCTTATAGTAAGGTTTAATGCCTTACCAGGAGCAGGTACCTTAGTGGGTTTATACTACTAAATTGCTATTTACGTTAACCGCTCCAACTAAGCTGAAAATTTTACTTTTAATTACTTTTATTTTTAATTCCCGACGTTTCGGGCGCTTTCCAGCACCCATGGTCATTTTTAATCAATGTGTAGTGTTCGCGTAAGTATAAGAAATCATTATGTAAGCTGAAAATGTTTATTATAGGTAGCGAATCAGGACTGTAGTCAAATACTATTTGAATTAACGATTTTTATTTATCCTATAGTATAGTATATACTTCACCTTATGATTACATAGTATAGTATAGGGCCTATACTATATAACCATAAGGTGATTGGAAAGCGTACACCACCCTGCTTAACCTGCGTCCATGCGTTTTGAAAGACTTCACACGTTAGAGAAACATTTTATTTTGAGACACCATGCATTTTCTTACGATTTCCTGCGTGTCCTACCAGGTCGTCACACCATCTAGTGGCGGGTCGCCCTACACTGCGGCTACCGATACGAGGCTAACACTCGAGAACCTTTTTTTCCCATCGGTTGTCGGTTCATAGAGCTATATGGCCGGTCCATTTCCACTTCAGCTTACTAATCTGTTGGGCTATGTCGGTCACTCTGGTTCTAATGCGGATATCCTCATTTCCAAGTATATCACGCAGTGAAACCCCAAGCATAGACCTCTCCATAGCTCGCTGAGCGACCTTGAATGTCCTCATACGTTAATTTCTTAATTATTGTTATTAATATTTTATTAATTATGTATTGTAAATAAATGGATGTGTAAATAAGATGTCAGACAGCTGAGTGTCAAAACGTAAGTAAATATATGAGAAATTACGAAAACGAGAAGCATTAGAAACAATAAACAAAACACCCGAGACGTTGGAAGTTGGAAATAAAAAATAAGTTAAAATTAATCGCAATATACCAGTCGCAAAACTTTGACAAAAACACTAGGCATACAGTTGCTTAATAAATTGTAATATGTGATCGAAATCACCCAATACTCACGCAGTTCAGTTATTATAATAATTGACATTTGTCCGTGGTCTTTCGTGGCCCGTGGTCTTTCGCTGCTGGCCATTTGAGGACGCTCAAGGTCGCTCAAAGAGAGAGATAGCTATGGTCATAGATTTTCTGCATGAGACTTCTGATATCCGCAGTAGAAACAAAGTAACTAACATAGCCCAACGGATGAGTATAAGCAGAAGTGGTATTGACCGGCTTAATAGCACAAAGAACCGACAACTGATGGGGAAAAGAGATTCTCGAGTGTCACCCTCGTACCAGAAGGCGAAGTGCAGAGCGGCTTCATACAAGATAGAGTGGTGACGTATCAAACAACCGTTACAGCCTATTTATTACAATTCCAGTGTTGAAAATAGGATTCCACTTGACGCATCCAGCGCAGTGCGGCTCGAATCGCCGATAACCGATTACTTTCGGATCGGCTTGATTCAATGGCACTGCGAAGAGATGTTGCATCCCATTGCATTTTATTTCGCATCGCACGGGGAGTTCTCTGAAGAATTGTTCGGATTAATCCCAGCCGCAGAATTTCAAGAATGCACATCGCGGCAAAACTCCCGATACCATCCACACCATCTGGATGCTTGGCGGTCCACCACTGTGCGTTTCACTAGAGGTTTTCTTCCGCGTACAACTTCTCTGTGCAACAGTTTACCACTGGCGATTTTTCCGGATCGATACGACTTAGGGACCTTCAAGAAAAGAGCTCACTCCTTTCTAAAAGGCAGCCAACGCACCTACGAATCCCGTGGTATTGCAGTTGTTCAGGGGCGGCGGTAGTCACTTAACATCAGGTGAGCCGTATTTTTTTTTTATAGAATAGGGTGACAAACGAGCACACAGTCCACCTGATGGTAAGTGGTTGTTGCGGCCCATAGACATCTACATCTATCCTCCATTAAAAATCTAAATGCAGATGCGTTGTCACCCGTGAGGACTGAGATGGAATGCCTCGTTTCCAGTAAAAAGGGTCTCCGGTTCTCTACACTTACCATACGAAATACAGCAGCATTAAGTTACTGTTTCACGCTGGTATTCTGTGAGAGCGTGGTCCTTCCCCGGTCGAGCCGGCCCATTCGTGCTACAACTATCTACTAATATAACTGCAGCATGGCTCTACCACGTAAGCTCTTCATACTCGTATACTCGTTTGCCGCCACTCCTATAAAAAGGCTTCCCTCATAGATTGCTGCATAAGGGAGACATGTATTTGTCATTGTTGCCACGCTTGACAGACGGGTTGGCAACCGCAGTTTTTTTTATTTTTAGGTGTTATTACGAAGAAGCCGCTACCTAGCTCCTGGCTTGTTTCTCCACCTCTTACGACATTCACGGAATGATGATGAAGATGGGGTAGTGGATATTCTTACACTGCCACTACTCAGTAAACAACATGCAAGAAGTAGATAAATGTCTTTGGCTCGCTTTTAGTAGTAGACATACTTATACTGTAATGGTGATGATGATGATGAATAAAAGTAAGCGAGAATTAGTAAATTGAAACTCACTTAGCGTCAGTTATGAAGCCGTCGACTCTATGAAGGTCACGGTTGTTAAACCCTGCGGGCTTGAACACAAGGTTGGCTTTAAGTGCAGCGCCCCCGTGGCAGGTGACCTCCATGGCGCCGTACTGCTCGATCCACAGCTTACCCACGATCACGTTGTGCACGACGCAGTTCACATTAGTCCAAGTGTATGCTTCGCCCCACCTGCGAAATTACAGTAAAGTGTACAATTGTAACGAGGCATTTCATCTTAGTCCTCATGGGTAACAACGTATCGCCATTTTGATTCTTAATCTAGGTTGTATGTACATATCTATGCGCTACAGCATGCGCTTACCATCAGGTGGATTGTTAAATCATTTGTCGCCTTTACATGCTTGTATTTTACGTGGTAGAGCTACGCTGCAGCCATATTAATGGTTAAAGCATATATATGCGTCATTTCTACCGGAGAAGGACCACGCTATCATAGAATAGAATAGGTAGCAGCGTAAAATAGCGTGCTTAATTCGCTTAATGTTGCTGTTTCGTATGGTGAGCGTAGAACCGGAAAACCCTTTTACTGAAAACGATTCAACATTTGTATTTTGATTCTTAATCGAAAAGCTGTACATGTCTTAGGCCACACCATGCACTTAATTTCAGATGGACGGTGCGCTAGCTTGTCCCCAATACTTCTATATTATGAATAAAAAATATAGATATACCGGTGGCGTACAAAGTCACCCTTTAAAGTTCTTAGGGTTAATTATTATTTGACTTTTATCATAAGGACACGAAACTTGCTTTTTGGTTGCCTACAGCCATTTGTAACCAACAAATGGATGTAGGCATTCAGTCTATACTTGAGATAACTTACCTTGGCAATTCAACAGTGACGTGTCCTTTAGGCTGTATCTCGACACTCTTTCCACAGAACTTGAGCTTTGGGTGCACGGAGCCGTGAAACACGAAGTGCGGGCTGTCCGCGTGGAACGCCGACACTGGCGGATGATGTGAAACCTGGTATACATGAAGACTATGAGATAAAACATGGAGCAGTAAGGAGCCGGAATCTGTCTTTTATGCTTGTCGGTAGAAATAGCATCGTGAGAAACCCTGCAGGTCTGATGAATAAAATACTATATGATGAATTAAATAAATTTCATTACGTGGTAGGCCTAGGGTACCGATAGTAGGTACCACCCGCCCACCTGTTTCTGTGACCGTTTGTGTTTTGGTCGTAAGCGTAAACAGAGACTATATAACTAAAGACTGTAGGAGGACATTCCATTATAGTCCTCAGAAGTGAGCACGTAGAAGTTTTGGTTTAAAGTTAGTTGCGGGCTTCCATGGGCTGTAGTAATGACTTATTATCAGATGAACTGATGGTTCGCTTGTGATTTCAATATTATAAAAAATATTTGTTTAGTAATTAATTACGACTTTGACTGCCGTGTCAGTAACGCTGTACGTAGTATTGCATTCAAAACGTGACCGACGGCAGTTTAGGTTTAGGTATTTTTTTTCTTTAATAGTCACTGTTATCATAACAAACTTCCTACAGTAAAGCGGCGGTAGTCACTTACCATCAGGTGAGCTGCATGTTCGTTTGTCCCCTCTTCTATAAAAAAAAAAGAGAATACACTATACCATATTATTCCGTGCGTCTCGTAAGAGACGAATACGTGAAATAAAGAAGGGCGGCAGCATCTTGTTGTTTAAAACACAACATAGTAAATTCTTGTGGTAGCCGATTTGTCAACTATGATCTTAAGAGAAAACCTATTAAAGAGAAATCCGCTCAGTGGCGACGAGTGTAGTACCTACCTTCTTTTACCGTTTGAAAAATATTAAGGCTGTAAAGAATTTAGAGAGCTTTCGAACTTGCAGTTGAGTATACTCGTAAAAGTTGTTTGCATAATTTTGCCTTTAAAGCTTATAATTGAAAAAAAAAACTTTCATATTTTATCAACATGTTTCATTATTATTTTCATTCATTACACCCTATCAAAACTCCACTGCTAAACATAAAACTCCCCCATAACTAGGGGGATATTGTCCTTGGCAGGCTGACGGGGGTTAGTTAGTTATTTTTATTATTATAATGCAAAGCAAATGGTTTTCTGGAAAAACTTCTGAAAAAAAAAACTTAATTGGGGCGAAAGAAAAATATATGTTAAAGGCCTGTGAACTGTGTCAAAGGTACTCAAAAAAAGGAAGTGAAGAATATGCTCGCCGAGAACGTACATTCAATTACCTAAAGATGGGAATGAAGGTAAAATTCAAGTTCGTAAGCAGATGTTCTTGAACACTCTATCACTGAAGCCTACCTCTGTTCAGATGTGGATCAAAGATGGTAGTTCCAATGTGGATGCAGCAAATCAGGAGAGTCTGGGAAATGGGCTAAATATTTTTGGCACAACATTTCATGTTCGATCGTGATAATTTTTGAAAAACGTGATTTTTCATTGTTTTGTTTTATTTTAAAAACGGCTATCTACCATGTATTTAGAAATTATTTACACGAACAGAACCAATACCACCTAACTCACGTTGACTTTAGGGGTATGTTTCTAAATAGAACCCAGTACGCTTGCCAATGCAAATGACGTCATAAATCGACGCCATACTGGTGATTCATTATATTGAATATGGTGGAATTTGGCGTCAATTAATGACGTCCTTTGCATTTGCGAGTATACTGAAAACATTTCGTAACATACCCATAATAGGCTAATATTAAGTCAATGTTAGCATATCATTTTTTTTCCTTTTTTAATAAATGTAAATATTTCCAGTATCTTTCTTCATCATATAATTCAAAACAGGAAAATGTTTTTTTAATCTTCTGTAAAGTCAACTTTTTGAGATAAACGCTTTTGATTCTTAGCCATCGCTATGCTTGGAAAGTAAAATATTATCATTACAAAATTTCATCCACAATGTATAGATATTTTAAACAAGATTTGCTCACTAAAATTATTGGATTTTATATTTTGTTTTGTTTTGTTGAATTGTATTGTATATTATATGGATGCTAACTATAATTGTAACTTAAATAACAACTAGTAAACTGCCGCGGCTTCGCATGGGTAATTTCTGAATCTCGAGAACAGCGCCAGCTAGTGGGTTCATTTGAGAATCAGTATCCACTCAAACACACACAAAAATTTCATCAATATCCGTCCAGTCCTTTAGGAGTTCAGTGACAAACACACATACAGAAGAATCACTCATTATTAATTGTATATATTAAGACGTACCTGTTCACATACTGCGCGGAACTCGGGCCGCTCGAGCTCGTAAGTTTCTCCAAGTAGAGGATTAAATGGCTTGCCGAGTCGCTCCCAGTTGGAAGCCAGCGCGCTTACGGCGAAAGCTGTCAACAAGGCCTCGGTAATGATATCTTTTTAAACTATTTATATAGATAAAGATTTTAGCACGTTTATTTTATTTTAAATATCCCACATTTCGAGGGCTTCGCAGCACCCATACAGACTTGATTCCAGCACCCATAGACTTGATGAGATTGAGTTATTAGACGTTTGAATTGATGTCATAGTTAATACTTTCGTTGTTCGTTTTACAACAACAATAATGAGACAATAGTTTAAACAGTAACGAAAAAAAATTAATAGCAAATTCTTCTCACCGTGTAATGGCGGTGGAAATTTTGTCTCACGAAATCCTATCTCACGTATTTGCCATAGTTGCCAAACATGGCAGGCGTAGATTTTATTATTTTGTGTTGTTTTCAAGGAGATGCTGCCCATCTTGTCACAGTTTCCCTCTCTCGTCTCTTACGACATCCACAGGATGATATATGGTATTGGACTCTTTAACGCTGCCTCTACACGGCCAGTCAACAGTTGTGTGATATGGAAAAGGATCTCAACTGTGGTAATTTGTGGAGTACCACAGCACTGGTCAGACGCGACCTCCATCCAGACTCAGGTTTCATGACGCTACGATACCCATGTGGTAATGAATTCTCTAACTTCGTCTCTGAACGATTAACGAACAGTCGTGTGATGTCAAAAAGGTTTTCAGCTAAGTGGTAGTTTTTTCTATAGAATAAGGGTGGCAAAGGAGCACACAGTCCTGATTGTAAGTAGATGCTGCGCCCCATAAACTTTTACGCCTATCCTCGATTAAGAATCGAAATTCAGATGCGTTGTCTCCCCTGAGGACTAAGATGAATTGCCTCGTTTCCAATAAAAAGGGTATCCGATTCTCTACACTCACCATACGAAACACAGCAGCATTAAGCCGCTATTTGACGCTGGTATTCTGTGAGAGCGTGGTCCTTCCCCGACCGAGTCGACCCATTCGTGCTACAACCATAACATAGCTGCAGCGTGGCTCTACTACGTATGTAGTAGTCACGTAGTCTATGGGGCATTACAGCAACGGTTCGCAGTCGGGCCCTCGATCCAGACCGGGTTTCATTCTTTAATTGAAGCAGACGGTAAAAGTCTTTTAAGCGTTGTTTATATAAAGTGACGATAATTCAAATTTTCAAGCTCGCTCTTTAGCCATTTCAATACTGTCCTTTTAGGTAGAGTTAGTTTGTAGGTAGTAGTACCTATCCTTTTCGCGTCGTAGTTCGTCTGTGTAGATTTTATTTATAGAATAAGGGTGACAATCGAGCACACAGTTCACCTGATGGTAAGTGGATGCTGTGACCCATAGACATCTACATTTATCCTCGATTAAGAATGAAAATGCAGAATGCGGCTGAGGAATAAGATGGAATGCCTCGTTTCCAGTAAAAAAGGGTCTTCGGTTCTCTACACTCACCATACGAAACACAGCAGTATTACGCTGCTATTTTACGCTGGTATTCTGTGAGAGTGTGGTCCTTCCCCGGTCGAGCCGACCCGCTGCAGCGTGGGTATACCAAACTCTTAACTATTTGTGCCACCAAATAACAATACTTGCATTACTGTGTCCCTGTCTGGAGGGTATAGAGAGCCACCATAATTACAGACTGTGAGGTATTTTATCTGTCCTCAGAGGTTCAAAGCATTTATAGTCTTCATTGTTTGAAACTGGCTCCACGTGTCCATGGACCGCAGTAACCATTTATCATCTGGTGAACTATAAGTTCGCTGGAGACTTCAGTTATAAATACAAAAATGTCCACTCTTGTCTTATCCAAATCAATGTTGATTTGACAATGACGCATCTTATAATCACACCTGCAATGTACTCCATCCTGGCGACGGGATCCGTCTGTTCGGACGCCATCCGGAGCAGGTGAGCATACTCGAGGTACTCCAGCATACGCTGCAGGAACGACAGCGGTTCGTTGAACACCACCGGCATGGTGATTTTCGACAGTTCCTTTCCCACGCAATTCTTCAATACCGACCAGAGCGAGAAGTCGCCGCGGCTGAATTGTGCGACTGGAAGAGATGTCCTGGAAAAAGTTAAAAAAATATTACGGATTTCATTTTATTTATATTACACTAGGATTTTTTTTTTTGATTTTATATAGATAGACCCATTATTTGTACGTCACGCAAATATTTGTTCCGTGCAAGATTCGAACAAGATTTGCAATAAAATGCGCGGCGCTACCCAGCTGCACGCAATATTAATCTGTTTTATTTAAGAAAGAATATGATATCTTTCTCTCGAGACACTGATAATCATAATTGATCATTTTCATAACATATATGTTGTATATATGTATTATAATATATATGTTTCGACTGCCTCGTTCGTCCAGTGGTTGTAGTAGTGCGAATACTGATCGTGAGGTCCTGGGTCGGGCCAAAAAATCGGTTATTGAGTTTTCTGAAGACAGGAAGTTAGCGATGTCTCACTCCCATGTTTCGGAAAGCACGTAAAGCCGTTGGTCTTGCGGCAGATCTCTCTCCAGTCGTGTTGGTTTACGGTCCCATCGGATTATGAGAGTGAGGGAATAGAGAGTACCACCTGTGCTTGCACATACACTTGGGCACTGTAATCCTGTCCTGCGCCAATGGCTAGTCTCCGTTGAGGCTAGCCGCCGTGACCGAAATTCATTCTGGAAGACATTATTATTATTTTTATTTCGTATATGTTTCTTATCACGATATAGTATACGCTTTTTATTTTCAAAAATATAGTATTAAACTAATTCTAATACTAAAAACCTTAAAAATATATATTATAATAACTAAATTAAATTATTAAAAAAGAGGTCCTTTAGGCAAGGTTTCGAAGATACTGGCAGCGCTTCCCCGTTGAATAGCTAGACTAATTCTTTGTCCGAGGTAACTGCCAGCTCTTCGGTCTCCTGTGACGTCGATTAACCTTTTTGCTATTTCCTTAAAAAGGCTTATAGCGCTAGGACCCCACGGACCAAGGGTCTCGACACCGAAAGGGACAAAAATATATTCGGAGCCTAGACCCCTGTATTTGCAAACTTTAGCCTTTTCTGCCGCTTCACAAGCCGCACCAGCTCTGTTGTTGGTTCCACGTAGATGGGAAGGGGCCAGCGTGTCTGAACAGGTTGCATCCCATACCAGCACCCGGCCCATCCTCCATGGAATGAAACTCATACCGTCCGGTCTCTGGCCATCGTCTCTTGCAATACCAGACGGCTCAAGTAGACTTGGCACGTTGACGGCGGCAAGAGACCGGCGTATGATATCGTTAAGAGCTGCATGTCTCGAGAAGCGACCTGCACTTTTTTGGCATGATAGCCCGTGATATCCTAGCTCGTCGACGTCACTGCCACACGGACATTTATGATGAGCGCAGACCGGAACCCCAAGCCGTAGACAGGTTGCGATTCGGAGCGTGTCAGGCTCAAGAAATGTTCCTGTATTTGACGAAGGATACGCGTGAAGCCAGTAGCCGGCCTCATGCGTACCCACGGCCAAAAGCCTAGCACGCGCCGAACCTGTACTAAAGCTCAAAAGATTGTCATAAGTCAATTTGCAGTTTATGTCGTCCCAGCTCCTCTGTGAATTTAGAGGAAATTGAAAATTTTGACCAGGGTATGCAATTAAGAAAGCGTTTCTAGCTTCTTCCAGGCCAGCAATCTCAAAGTTTGAAGGGGATGCCCTTAAAATTTTACTTATGAGATTTGCTGAACTATAGACAGAAGATAGGAAGGCTGGTAAAGAGACACTGGAAATTTTGCGAATTCCTAAACCACCATAACGGATGGGTAGGGAGGCTTGGGTCCAAGATTGCTCGTTCATGTGTATATTAAGAATCGATTCTAAACTAATTTTGATTAAGTTGTCCACTTGTGTCAAGAGGTCTGGGTGATTCCAAAAGGAATTCAATTTTTCAAAAATATATTTGTTTTTTAAATTATAAAAATATTTACAGATTGAAGATTTAGATTTCATCTAATTATGTATATAGTGGCAGCGTAAAAGTATCCACTACCCCATATCAACCCGTCGGTTTCGCGAAAGATGGATATTAAGCGAGAGATGGACAGCAGGATCCTTTTTAAATCAACTCTAAATAATAAAAAACTATGGCAAAATCGTCTCTATGAGGCAATCTACGTGGTAGGCCTATGTTGAGACTATGACTTTTATAGGGTGTAATGAATAGATGGATGTACGAATTCTGTGCGAGTGTGGGGCTTCCCCGGTCGAACGGACCCATTTACCAACTGCAGCGTAGCTCTACCAGTAACGACGTGTTTATCAGACTTGTACAATGTTGGTAATATTAAAGTTACAGCCTATATTCGTCCCACTGCTGGGCGCAGGCCTCCTCTCATTTCTGAGAGGGTTTCAGGCTAAGGAAGTGTCCGCCGCGCTGCCCCAATACGTGTTGGCGAACTACACATGTCTTCGAAATAATTTTTTTTATTTGTCAGACATACCGGTTTCCTCGCGATGGTGTCCTTCACCGCCGAGCACGTGGGAAATCAGCACTTAAATATCAATTAACAATTTCATTGGTGCCGGTGGGGATCGAACTCGGGTTGCTCGCGTAATATGACTTTACAGCGAGCTCTGACCATCTGATCTACCACGGCTTGGTAATATTATCATTATAAAAATCTGACACCCGTGAGATGCAAAAAGTCGGAGTATCTGAATACTACGTCGTAGTGTCCTCGAATAGTAATCTTAAAAAAAATTCGACAGTGAACTCCCTCTTCTCTTAGAGAATGTTACATTAGAAACACGCCGAAGAATCTGGCTACAAAATAATCGCTGTTCTGCGTATTACGTTCTTACGTGTGAGAAACTTTTTTTTAAATGAAAATTACCCACGAAGGTAGATTAGACGCCTAGGACCTATTCTGTGTCCTCCACGGTCTTCCGATCTAAATCCCTTAGTCTTTTTTTACCGGGGATGTCTGAAGGAGATTGTGTACAAGAAGCCGATGGCTAATATTCAAGGACTGCGTGGGCGTATGCAAACCGCTGCTCAAGAAATTAATAATGCTGAATATGCACAACGAGTCAAACGTTCTTTTATTAGGTGTCGGGCATGTATCTGGTCAGGGGTGGACATTTTGAACATCTGTTATGAAAAATAAATGGATAACAATAATACTTAACATATACAATATGTGTTTGTTGCTATTTTTGGTTCCACCTCTTTAATTTTGGCCACAATCTCTAATTTTTAAAATATTTTAGTTGTATTGCAAAATAAAACAAAAAAAACTTTTATCGAAAAATAGGCCCTTCAGCAATGAAGTAGCAATTACTTTTTTGTTTTATTGTTTTAAAATCTTCATTCATTGCACTATTTTTCAAGCCAATGGGCATCAAAGATGTAGTACTATTTTAACACCACAGTATTTTAAACTTGGATGAAAAATCTTGTCTCGTAAAAATTAGCAACTTTAATATTTTTTTCTAAAAAACTGTTCTTGTTGTTGTGAAACTGTAATAAACATGCAGTTACACATTTAGTCGGAAATAAATTAAATAAAAAAATAAGTTTTCGCTATTTCAATATAAAGGCATAAATTATACGTATTAAGGTGATAAATTTTCGACAAAATCATGAAAATCAAAAAATCTTGATAACTATAACAGTTTATTTAAAGAAAATTGCCAGTTCTCATAAGGCGCGATCTCATCTCTCGCCACATTTCGTTTGGACTATTAACAACCTGTATATAAACGGTTTTTAGAAGCCTTCAAAAATAGGAGGAGTTTTACTGTTCGACTGTATATTTTTTGTATGTATCTTACGCGTTATCATTCGCACGTTTTCAATTATGAACAGATTTTGATGATTTTTTTATTAAGTAAGTTATATTTTAGAGGCACATATCAACTTGAAGAAAAAGTTTCATTCCTAAGGTTGGTAAAATAAGGGACGAATTTTTAATATAAGTAAGTGTAACTATATAGAATTATTGTAATGTTTCTTAGTTACTTAAAAGCCTATCACTACTACAAAAATAAAAATTAATAATATAAATTTTATTTTGGGTATTAGTAATTGTTACAGTGTCTCCCTGAATTCCAAAAACAATACCAACACTGTAAGACTGTGGTGTCAAGAACACAGGGCCTAAACTTATTACTTTATATTTAAGTAATAGAATGCAGAAAGTTATTATCAATGGTAAAAGTTGTTCTGGGACACCTGTACTAATGGGTGTCCCTCAAGGCTCAATTCTCGGCTCATTCCTATTTCTAGTGTATACTAATAACTTTCCTTACCTTGTAAGGGATAATCATAATATACAGTATTATTTACTAATCATACTTCCTTGATCTTTATACCTAAAAATCAATCATTTAAATGTGACGAAGAAGCGAATAATGCTATATAAAAATTAGTACATATTTTTAACGTTAGTTAACGTTAGTCGAATCAACATCGAATATTAAAAATCTGAATACCAATGTGTTTTTGAAAGGGGAAAGTTGAATCCACTGTTTTTTATTGCCATCATTCACGACGTAAAACTTCAGTGGAGCCCCCATATATCCAAACTAGCAAGCTGACTAAGCTCTGCAGCTTATGCTGTAAAGAATAATATAGGTCTCACTAGTGTCGAGACAGCTAGTTAGTTTATTTCGGTTATTTCTATAGCTCAATGTCTTATGCGATTTTGCCCTGGGGAAATATGGCTGATTTAGGAACTATTTTTGTTTAGCAGAAGAGGGCCATAAGAGCTATTTACAACCTAAAATTAAGAGTCTAGAAAAAATTAAAGAAATTATTATATTAACTTTGGCCACTCAGTATATTTATGACAATTTAATGTATGTTCACAAAAATATAGGTAGTTTTAGTTTAAAAAAAAGTGATATACACTCTGTAAACACAAGGAACAAACACAAGCTAGTGATACCAGTTTCTCGACTCCATAGAGCCAGTAATTCATTCTTTGGGCAATGTATGCTCTTACAACAAAGTCTCTCTATTACCAATTTTAAATATTTAAATATACAAAAACTGTATAAAAAGGATTATTATAATAAA